TTACCTGAGTGTTTCCTTGATGACACAGGTGAGGTATTTGAGCTGATCTAGACTCTCACTGTTGATAACACCACTGTGTTGCTTCATCACTTTATTGACCTCTGTTCTGACCTTGTCCTGGATATCTGGGTACTGTGCCAGTTGTAGGAGGGTCCAAGTCATGCCAATACTCGTCGTCTAGGTAACAAAATAAAAACTAGAAAATGTCTGCAAGTGTGCAACTAGTTCAGTGTTTGATGTTCTATGAATAGTTGCTAGTGTTAACATTGAATTGCGGTGGGATGGGATAGACGAGACAGACACGGGCAACACTATATGCACCCCCTCCCCCTCCCCTTTTATGGTGGGGGCATAAAAAGGTTGATAAAATAAGTAGAACTAAAATATTTTCCCTGAATGAGCTCCTGGCATGGGGGAATAGCCCAGGGATGGCGATGGCCAAGTAGTTAACGCGTCTGATATTCTGGGTCGTGAGTTCGAGGCCTACAGACGCCAGGTACTCGCCGCAGATGTTTTTTCTCTTGGTGCTCCGGCTCTCCTCCACCACCAAAACCTAACACATCCTTAAATGAAAACTATAGCTGTTAATAGGACGTAAAACCCAAACAAACCAACCAAACAAAATACTATTAACCCAATTACTAGTATAAAGTTGGGAAAAACATTTGTTCAGATTTCAGAAACAAAATACCTTAAATAACATTCCTCTTCCAAAGGGGCAACCTCTGTCTATGTTTGTTTTAGATCTGATATATTGTTCAAGTGATACCACCCAGAAATCTACATTTTTAACAAAATAATCAATCTATTTATAGAAAATGTGACCTTGACCTTTGACCTAGTATCCCAAAACTCAAAAAGAGTTTTCCTCTTCCCAACAAGCATCAGCCATTCAAGTTTGGTTTAGATCCAATTTATTTTTCAAGAGACAACCTTAGGATGCAAACACTTTCCTTAAATTTCAGTCTATTTATATCCACAGTACTAGTGACCTTGATTTTCAACCTTATTACCCCAAAATCAATAAGCTGTTTTTTTCTCCTCTAGGGGCATCATTCCTCCAAATGTCGTTCACAAAGAAATTCTATATTTAGAACGAGTAGTGAGGACAGCCAGGGAATAATGAGTTGTCTGTGATCGAGGACACATAAAAAGTATCTTCCAAAATCAATTCCCGGTGCACAACGTCAGTGTGGCGACTAATTGACATAACTGAACTTTAGGAAATTTGGTTAAAAAGAACAAAATTCCTTCTATGGAATGGATGAATGGACAGACAGCCTGATTCAAGTCAATCTCCTTTAAACTTTGTTTTGGTATCAGTTTGTTAGCACACCTAGTTGAGACAGGGAGAAATTTGTGGGCCAAAAAATCTCTCTCTGCCTCCTCATCCCCAACCCCCTCACCCGACCCTCTATTAGATTTGGCAGAATGTTTGATAAATATGAAAATCAATGTGCCTATGGCACTGGAGGATTGGCGGCACGAGTGTGTTTTTTCAAAAGATTTTATCCTGAATGGGCAGACTTCTATATACATTCATGTGGAATGAAATAAAACAAAACTTAGCCTGTCTCGCTCCCGTTATAAAAGCGGCACGATGCCTATAGATTGCAACTCCAAAAACATAGCATATTTATGATACTAAATTAAAAAAAATCACCTCAAATCCAGCAAAAAAGAATCCTATCACTTCTCCAAAAAGGTCCTTGTCTGACATAGCTCCGCCCTCCTGGTCCCTTGCAACCAATAGCGACGTCAGCAGGTCCTGCCCACAATCTGAACAGCCAATCACATGGCAAGAAATTTTATTTATTCTGGAATAATTTTGCATCTTCTGTAGTTGATTCAAGTATGCTCTAGGTTTCATCAAGACATCATTAACGGTTTTGAAATTAAAGACTTCGACAAGAATTTACTGAAAATTTTGCAATACACAACCTTTGTATGTGATGTAGATTTAGATATAATTCAAATTTCATCAACATTTCTTTAGTAGTTTAAAATGTACGGCCCAGACAACCATTTACTTGAAATTTGCACTTATTTGACCTTTGCAAAATTTCACACCCTCTGTGTGCGATGCAGGTATAGTTCAGGCCCTATCTTTAAGGTTTAAAATTGATGGCGCAGAAATGTTGCTTGTCTTTTACCAGAATACTGTCATTGATTATATTTTGTTTATTTCATTATTTCAACAAAGCCTCATGTTTGGCAACTTAAGAATCTTCCTCTTCGGGTTGAGATTCCCCTATCTCGTCCCCAGGGGGGTGAGAGATTCTATTAGTACGTTACAGAATCAAGAAGATAATCAAAGGACTTACCTTTTGTACCCAACGTCTGTTTCTTTTGATGTAATATCTTGTCTGCTAGTTGAAATATAAGTTTAGAATCCTCCCATACCTGACGGTTTCTCTTAGTCGGATACCACCGGCTAAACGGCAGAAGATCTAAAAAACTGAAAGCGTAAATTTATAGTATAATATTTACATTTCCACTGCACTTGGACTCAATATACCTGATAAAGAATATGAAGTTTATTTTTCCATAAACTTTCCAGTCGGAGTCTGAATACGTCAGCAAATTAGTGCTTCCCATTTATAGATTGTTTTAAATTCATTTTTTCTGAAGTTTCAGATTAAATATTTTAACATTGTGATCAATATAAAACAGTTATTTATCTTACCAGGATAACGTCACACAGTGATTGGTGACGCCAAATGTGTTGGCACCTTCCATGACATACACTTGCGCAAGTCCAATATTTTAGAAATCATCAAAAAATATCAAAATTGCCTTAAATGTAAATATGTATAATTATATTCCCACTGCAAGTTCCTCTATGAGCATTCATAGGGCTATGAACGCAATTGGATCAGTGTCATTTTGAAGCTTCTCCCCCTCCCCCCCCCCTCCCCCCCTCAAATAATATGAGACAACA